ATCTCACCTATCTTTGGCTGTTTTAACCATTTGCCACACCAATAAGGAGAATGTAGCAACAACAGAACATAACAGTACTTTTAAAGCAACATACTCCAACCATTCCATGTACATTTTTCCTTGCAGACCCCTTAGCATCTTGGTTATTCTTTTCTGGAAGTGCTCCAATTTGTCAATGTCTTTCCTAAACTGTGGCAAATGGAAAAAGTAATTATTCTCAATATTGCGGCCACAGATTAAAAAGGTCCTTGTACCCAAATGTTTGATACATTTTCTATTTTTTACAGAAAAAAAATCACAGTTGAAATGTGCTTGTAGGCAGATTTTCTGTCTTTATAGAAGGGTCTAATCCAGTGCTTCCCAAACGTTTTCCTTAACCCTAACTTCAAATGGTCGTTGAACAAATGGTCATAACTTGAGGACTACCTGTATTATAAAAACAATATCACTGAATGATCTTTATGTCATTTCAACAAATTACCATTGGTAAGTTCATAGTTTTTCATCTTAATAGAAATACTTTGGGAGATTTTTGAATATATTTTAGTACACGTGGCAATTTTTAAGTCAATTTAAATGTCCCTTTTGTGATTGGGTAATGGGTTCATGTGTCATTACCCAAAGAAAAAGCCACTCTTACCCAATTTTGGGTAATTTACCCAGGGTTTGGGAAGCACTGGTGTAATCCATCTTTCTTCATTTGCATATCCCAGCAGTTCAGCAGCTTAGCAGTGTATTCTGTCTTCTGCTCTTTCCAGAGAGTAAACAGCTTTGTAATAAACTTACCCTCCTTGCTATCATAGATATATTTCTCCTGAACAAAATAGAGAGATCTGTAAGGCTTTGGTTACAGGATTCTTCATCACACTGACAACTATGCAGACTGTCATGGGGAATTCCTGTGCAACACCCAAAGAGAAAATGTATAGAAAGAACGACTTTGTGCAGAGAATGATGCCAATCAGTAAGGATCTACATTTTAGCTGGGCTGCTGACCAAGTAAAAAATGTGAGTTGCCCACAATCCCTATTTATCAAGCCCCTTCCATGCCTGGAACAGGGAAGGCAATAGTGTAGGGAATCTATTTGAAGCTTCAGAGTATAATTGCTGTTTTTGACAGGGCTGACACTTTGTGTCATCTCTCCATCTTCTCCACTTAGCTTTCTTCTGTCTTCTGGGAGGCCTGATGGTATTGTTGTCCCTCCATAAGCATTTTCTGTGTCTGATTCAAGAATTCCCCATTTCCCTGGGAGATGTACAGTTTTGCCTCTAAGCCTTTCACTTTTCTTCAAGGATGGCAATTAGCTTGCACTTGTAACATGTATAGTTGTCTTCAGAGAGGAAAACAAACATGGTACATATTCCCTTCATCTCTGACGAAGAACAAAACAAAAAGCAATTCCTTCCCTACCAAACTTTTGTTGGCTCTCTTTGTTTGCTCACTCAGGACAGGCAGTTCTGTTTTGAAATTTCATAGTGAATCAACTAGGTTCAGATACATGCAGTACTATTCTATCATATCACCACCTGTGTTCATTACTATAATATCTAAAAGGGACTAAGTAATGACTCTATTGTGCTTTCCTTCTATATCTTTTAAGGGTCTGGTCCCTGCATAGCTTTGTTGCTTTGATCCAACAGGGCAAATCTCACATTCTTTCAAAATAACTTCTTAGTTCAACAAACACAAGAAAGCTAAAAGAAAGCTCTTCTCATTTATTGAATCTTTGGGTCAGTTTTGAAATAAATAACTACATGATACAGGAAATACTTTAAGTAATGGGATAGCCCTTAGAAGATGAGACTGCAAAATATATATACAAATTTTAAAAAAAGAATGGGGAATTTTATCTCTTGCAACAGAAACCATTACAGAGAACATTTCATCATGAAGAACAAATGATAGACAATAATGGGAATATAGAGTGAAACTTGAGACAGGAAATAGAAGGAACACCTGTTCACATAAAATTGATTTTATGGGCTACAATTTTTGTTAAAAGCAGTTGGGGGAAGGGTCAACAAAATTATCTTGTCATAAAACCACAGACTTGACATAAAACCTGCTGTACAGGTATTTATATACAGTACTGTATTGTAAAAACAGATGCACCACTAATATAAGATAGTTATGGGCCAAATTTAATTTAATACATATTTGCTACTCCAAAACTGGAGGAACAGTAACCTTGCCTTTCTTCATTTATGTTCAAGGGTTTCATCACAATAATGTTTATAAAATATTCGTCCTGCACCCCTTTTAAGACAGAAGTAGCCGGGATGAGGAAACAGGAGCATAGCAGCTGCCAAATTATCCAGCAAAGAGCTCACAAACAAAACCACAAAAAAACTGATAGAGA